GAGCACAGAAGAGGCCTGCTGACACTGTGCGGCGAAGAACTTCATCCTGATGTTAGTGCAACATGCGCTTCTATTGCAATTTGCTCATTAGTTCCCTACAGAGAGAGAGAGAGACAGAGGCAGAAAGACAGATATCATTAACTGCTGACAGTAAAACATGCATTCCAACACTATCGAACACAATAAAAGGTAATTACAGTATTGCCTGAGGTTTAAAAGTCATATCAACCATAAACATGTGAAACATGAATCTAATTAAATATCATTTGTTCCACTGTATATAATCTTTCTCTTAATGTTTGTTTAATATCTTGGTTGAAATATCTCCTTCTCTTTCTGGAGTATTCTCTAAGGCGCATAATTACATATGCGTATCTGGACCATGGGTAGTTCTCTCCAGCGTGTTGCCAGATCGTCGAGAGGTGCGCCACAACGACACACATTCACGCTCGGTTACCGGGGGGTGTGAAATACTGAGTGTGCTGCTTAATTGACTCCCTCGGAGGAGATGACAGCACCAAGTGTGTTCATTTTAAGTTCCCCCCGACGTGCCATGATCTACGAGGAATGCGAGGGAAACATTTACAGCCATTTTGGCACAAAAAGACGTTATGAATGGGGACTGGGTGTACAGAGACAGACCAGTTTAAAATCGTCCTATAATGAGACACTTAATTCTGGAGTCATATAGGGTAACAGGAATCAGTGATTCAAGAACGATGATGTCATACGCAATTGGTCCTGGAAACTGCTTCCAGAATGACTAATCAGTCATGTGGACCGCATGTATCTGTGCTTAAAAATATACAGACACTAGAGGCATCCAGTACCAAGTGGTGTTATTTTAACATTATTTACAGTATATACTATTATTAATTAAAATATTGATTTCTATTTCAATATTTGAAATAGGGGCTTTCATTTAATTTTATTTAAGTTTTAATAATTTAGTACTTCAGATTAAACTTATTTCAGATAGTTGCCTTGGCATTTAAGTTTATTAAGCTTACCTTTTCATCTAAAATTTACATTAACAATTTAAAAAACATGATTTTTAAGCAATTTATATTCAATTAACAATATCAACACTGATACAAACTACATGGAATATTTGACTGCAGCAAGATACAGGCAAAGCATAAGATATGTTTACGCATTTAGGCTCATAATAAAGGTGAACATAAGTAGGCCTATGTGGAAGCATTGCAGTATTTTTGGATTTTATACACTGATCATGGGGGGAAAATATGTGGCATGGATTTACAGTTTTTTTTCAATTGCTAACATCCCTTTGTCCAATCTTTAGTCACATTTTCAAAACTCTAAACACAATTAGCACAACATCCGTCTGTTGTGACCATACCATTAACACAATTCATGTTGTTTTCATGCAATATTCAGTCAATTAACACGTTTCTAAAATGCTTAAATTTTCTTTTGACACAAGTTTACCCCATACCAAAATCATGAATCTTTCTTATCTTTTTATTTATTTATTTTTTTTTTACAAATGCTTAAACACATAATGTCAGAAATAAAGACCTAATGTTCCAAACTGTAAATATAGTGTAAAGCCTCTACTTCTGCAACAACAGCAGCTTAAAAGAGCTGATAAAAATTATTTTAATTACTAATAATTGAGAAATAGCTGATTCCAATCTTAATGAATAATTATTTTATAAGTCTTTCCATTACATTGCCATGCACAATAAAAAGGCACTCTCTGGATTGGTTTTGTTCAAAACAATACAGAGAAGCAGAAAAAGAAAGAAAATGTCTGGAGGAGGGAGAGCTGGATGAGGAAAAGCACGGGTTGGACCAGGGAGAGGACCAGGTAGACTAGGTAGAGTAGTTGGACAAGGACTGTCTGGTTTGGTTGAGCTACCAAAACAGATATCAAGAGACTACAGTGGACAGTCAGGACTGCTGAGAGGATTTTTGGTTCCCTCTGCCCAACCTCCAAGATCTTTACATCTCCAGAGTGAGGAAAATCATGCACTTTTGAATCCCACACACCCAGCCCACTCTCTCTTCCAACTGTTGCCTTCTTGTCTGCACTACAGAGCACTGACCACCAGAACATTCAGACACAAGAACAGTTTTTCCCGCAGGCTATATTCAGCCTGAACAAGTCAATCTTTCATAACAATACACTGTCCATCATAACTGACACATTTATACATAGAAAACCGAAAACTGTTCATTTGTACACTGCACACTTGTAAAAACATATCTGTACATTTATTTAAAGTGGTCATATGATGTTGCTAAAAAGAACATTATTTAGTGTATTTGGTGCAGTGCTCTTATACCAGGTAAAGATCATAAATGGTTTAAGCACAATCCAACTGGCACAATAGCCGATGTTGCTCTGGAATGTAGACTCCCTTACCGGCTTATTAAATGTCTGTTTACATTTTAACATGAAAACCAGAGGAAAATGTGACAATTTCAAAGTGGTTTCAGAATTTTGCAAAAATCTGCGGAAATAAAAACAAGATAGCTGCGAGTTTTTCGACGAGACTGTCAGATGGGGTTTAAGGACCAGGAAAAAAAAAGTTTGACTGCCAACAGACACAAGTCAAAAAAACTTTGAAAAGATGTAGGCTGACTTCTCAACAGCAGAATGCCAATGTGTGTGGGAGTTGTGAGTATAGTTTGGACACCATGAGGGCTGTAGAACTGCTTTAAAGTGACAACCGTTGGTCCCAGGATCTACATCGACAAAATCGAGAATGAAGTAAATGTCTCCTCACAGGCCCTGAGCAAACTGTTCCGTTCTGCTGATCAAAGCCTGGAGACTTTATAGAGAAGTAAATGTATGCTAAAGTAAATGTGTGCACAGCCACAAAGAACACACAGCCAATCTGAACAGTTGAAGAAAAACATGTACGTTTGCACAGGCAAAACAGAAACCATCTTACAGAAACATCTGGGCAGCATCCTCGCAGGAGCTGGAAGATTCTACAAAGAAATCAAGAGTCAAGAGTGAAGGCAGAACCATCCAGTGTATGCTGTTCTTCAAGTACTCGGCATCTCCATGGCAACCAAAGCACAGCTAATCATCCAAAAAGCACCAAACCTGGACACAAAACACCTGAAGTGGAAAATCACCAACTGCAGGAGAACCTGACTAAAGAAAAGGTGAAGGAAAATGAGAGACTTCCGATCCAATTCCCTTAGAGCAAACTTGGGTTAAAGGGTTAGTCAACCAAAAATGAAAATTCTGTCATCATTTACTCACCCAAATGCCATTCCAAACCTATACGACCTGTATTTCTTCTGTGAAAAAGAAAACAATGATATTTTGAAACTTCACAGCACAAAAAACCTAACCAAACACCAGAAGAGATCAACTCAGAAAAGTACATGTGAGGAACTTGCAGTATTAAGAAGATCCTGTTTTTGCTTGTGCATAGATGGGTGTGTTGGAACACCAAAATATCCTAACCTATCAATATTTATGAGACACAATTAAGGCCAAAGTTTCACCCTGGCCTGGTGGGGCTGCAATTGAACTTCATAAATATGCAGTTTTTAGTTGACCCCCCACCTTCAAATACACAGCCACACAAACACGTGTATAGCCTGCTGAGGTGCTGTTACATCACCGCCAGCGTGTGGTAATAAATCAAGAGCGTATAAAGACAGCAAGAAAAAGACAGCATGCTCTCTCAGCTCTCCAGGTAAAAGGTTTCCGAGCTCATCAAGATCAGGCCCTTGTTATGATATACGCTCAGTAAGCTAGTGAAAATGTCTCCCAGTCATGTGATCAAGATCTCTGACAGGACAAAATGCGCCCTTCAGATATTAAATGGTATGTCAAATTGTGCTAACGGGCAACTGACATGACATGTCAGAAAGTGACAGCAGCGTGACATTTTGATATACTTAAACAATGATTAAAAAAAAAAGTCATTTATCCAATTCTTTTATTATTACTGTTACTATTATCACACAGTTCTTATTAGGTTTATCATTTTATTATATCAGTCTCATATTAATCAAGACACTATGTGATGCTTTACATATGTTTAAACTATATATATATATATATATATATATATATATATATATACACACACACACACACACACACATATATATATATATATATATATACATACATACATACAATTGTTGATGATTTAGGCCTATGTTTTTGAAAATTAAGTTACAATTTCTAATTTATTTTTTTATTATTATTATTAATATCACTCTGCTTTTATTAAATCAATCACCTATTGATTGAGATACTATGTGGAGTCTTGCACACAATTTTAATGGAAGTTAAAATAAAATTAAATAAAAAATGATCCTGCCAAAGAGTGATGCTAAAGATTTTTTAGTTTACTTTAAATGATATTCAGAGCCAAAGTCTGCAAGTGAGAAGCCTGCAATTGAGCCATCGTTACAGTAGCATCTAAATGTTTTGATGTTTCATTGATTGTCGTCTATCCTAGGAAAACACCAAAGACTAAAATACTCGATCAATTGGTGAGGACACGCACATATTTCATTTCCAGTATGGACACCAGGGAACTTCCTAGTGCTGTGGGGGCCGCATGCAATCGGTGATCCAGAACACACAGTTACACAAACACTGTTTCTCTGAGGGAAAGCTTTATTGATAAAACTGGATATGGTCAGTTTATAAATCACTCACAGACAATTTCTTGCGAATGTGTGTTTGTGTATGTGAAATGGCCTAGCTGTGTGTAAGAAGCCCACGCGAAGCCCTTGTTGATTAGCTGCATGTGGGCTAGGTTAGGCCCTCAGGGGCAGCAGTAAGTCTGCGAGTAAAACAACGTACGCCCCTCTTCTGCCTCTCGTTGAAGGAAGCAGTGTGTTCGGAGGAAATGCAGTCCTACTGGACCTGCCAATAAAGCACTCACTGCTAAAAGGGCATGCAAAAGGACCCTAATCGAGAGGACTGCGTGTTGAAAAAACACCGCTCATTCTCCGCCCACTACAGTAAGTGACTCTGACGCACACTTCCGTTCGGCTCGGGTCCTTATGCTTGATGCGTTCGGCAGCAGGTTTGGGCTCAGATCCATTTTAGTTCAGCAGATTCAGGAGATTAATGCAACTCTTGAGGTGAGTTCGATAAAAACCTGCGAGGGCACGTACAGATGATTTGAATTGCAAGCAGAATTTTAGCATTTGCTCAGTCGATATGAAAGTGACCCTGAACTGGCTCAAAGGGCAAAGTCACTAATCCAAGGCAATGAGATATAGAGATTCATCCATCTCTCTCCAAAATAATTCTTCTCTAATGACATCATAATGCTCTTTTAGTACTGTTTGCCAAGTATTAAACTTCAGCATGAAACTCCTTGCTAAGGCTAACATTACTATTAGAGTAAGATGTGGGATGATACCCCTTAAGAACAGTGAGTATTTAACACTAAATTTTAACATACTTTGACGTGACTTTAGCATGTACATGATAATGATGCATCTAATATTTAATTATACAGTATATGTATATTCAAAACATATACAGCGGGTAAAATAAGTATTGAACACGTCACCATTTTTCTCAGTAAATATATTTCTAAAGGTGCTGTTGACAAGAAATTTTCACCAGAT